GAAAATATTCTAGCAGGTCTTTAAAATGTTAAACACAGAGTTACCATTTGACTAAACAATTAAACAATTCTATTCTTAAACATATACCCCAGAGAGTTGAAAATATATCTACACAAACACCTGAACACAAATGTTCTTAACAACACTATTCTTAACAGCCCAAATGTCTATCAATGGATAAACAAATGTAGCATATCTATACTGGACTATTCTGCGAAAGAAAGGAATGAGGTACAGATACATACCAGGTGTGGGTGAAGCTTGGTATTAAAGTAAGTGACAGATGTGTCACCAAAAAAGCACATGATTCCATCTTTATGAAATATCCGAATGGGCAAATACACAAAGACACGAAGTAGATTAGTAGATGCTTAGACCTGGGATGGACAGGAGGATGTAGGGATTAGAGGACAATAACTAGGGGTACAGGGTTTCTTTCTGAGGTAGTCAGAAGGTCCCAAAGTTGACAGTAGAGATTGTTGTATACAACCTTGTAAATATACTAAAAATAACAGAATTTTGTTTTAAATTTATGAATTGTATAGTGTGCAAATTATATCTCAACAAATGTTAACCAAAAAAAAAAGTTATCACCTAAATGTTAATAAATCCCAAATAGAGTCGCCAAGTTTCACAAGTAAAAATACAAATACTGCATGGTTCATGCTTACACTAAAAACTTCCACACTGTGTATCTGAAATTTAACTTCATGTCCTGTACTTTTCACCATAGCCCTTCCCCCATACTGATTTTTCTCAACCCGGAACATAATTATCCTCACTTCTAGGTGCACGTATCCAACCACATAATAGGCATATCTATCTGATTATGCTCCAAATACCAAACAAACATAAACAAACTAAAATCAACTCTCATTTCCTCTGAGGACCAGCAAATATGTAAGAACTGATACCTGGGACCTTAAGTCTGGCTCCTGGAGTGTACTTTCAACTCCCAGTGACCTGGTATAAACCCAGTGGCTGGATCCCAGGGCAGGAGTTTTGAGACATTAAGCACAGCACACATGCTGTGATCAGTCTCTGTTTCTCAAACTAAAAATCAGCTCCCCTTTCCCAACACTCTGCCACCATCACCCTTGAACTAGAATCTCTTGCTCCATCAGTCTCATGCTCCATCAGTCATGCCAATTTGCTTCTGCAAGAAAAGTATTCTTTCAATGGGAAAGTAATGGGCAAAGAATCCCAAGTAGTCATCTTTCTAAAGATGATACACAAATAGTGAACAAAATGTTCATAATAGCTAGGAAAATGTTCATTTCTTTACTACCCTGCTTTAAACCTTCCAATACAATGGCTCCACCAGTCTGTACACCTTGGGTGGTTTAAGAATAGGTCTCTGCTTAACTTTTTGCCACATGTTGTCCACTCTTTCTTAATTCACATACCAGCCAAAAGACAGTCCTTATTCTAAGGATACAACTCTTGCTCTTACCTCCAGACATTCTGCATGTTACTCCTCTGACCTAAATTCCCACTCTCCCCCAGAAATCTTACCTGAACAACTCCTACTCAGCTTGCAGGGTCTAGCTGACATCAAATCCTCCAGGGGCCCCTCCCTGGGGCCGGTGTTGAGTTACACACCTTGTGTCTCTCATAAAAGCTCTCAACATGATCTACCACAGAATATTTTAATTGTTCCATCTTTTCATCTGAGTCCTCTGGAAGACTGGAGATTCAACAAGGAAGGGGACTGTGCCTACCACCTTAGACATTTCAGCCCTGACAGTCCCTATAGTGCCTGGCACATAGTAAGTACTCCACAAACAGAGTATGAACAAATTAATCAATAATCAAAAGTTAAAGTTCTGTAACAACATTACAAGGATCTAGCTGAATATTTATCATCATTCCTTTAAGGCTGAAACCACTAAAATAAGTACAGTAGTTCAACCATAAGGAGCTGTGTCTTTAAAATATCAATTTGTGTTTGCTGAAATATCTCAGAATCTGAAAAAAGAATAAAATTCAAATAACTACTTCTTTGCTCCTGCCCTCACATACATCTGGCTATTTAAATGAGGAAAACACACCAACTATTTAAAAAGTAATGACAGTTTGATATTATCATCCTGGAAATCCAACACAACTATGAGTTAAAAACGGAAATTTCTTGAAGAAACTACAACCCAGTTTCAAAGCAATATAATATCAAAGCTAGACTGTCATATTTTTTCTATAGAGAAATTAAAACAGATTACAAACATACAAACAACTAAATAAAAATAAAATTTCAAGAGATCTCAATAGAAAAAAAAGTCAGGGGTAGAAGATAAATCTACAAATATTAGAACATAAAATATATCCTTCAAGGGCCAGTATATTTGCTAATGATGGGTCAAAAATGTGGCTATACACCTAAGACTGCTGCTCCATTGCACTTACTAGGATCATGTAAATTATAATATGCTTCTTCCACTCCCCCCATGTATATATATTTTTCTATTCCTTTTCCAGGTTCTCTCTCAGTACCATCTTCCTTCTGTTATTTGCAAAATCTCATACTCACAGATTTTATTATTCAGTTTTTCTACTTAATATCTCAAAAAAAAAAAAAATCCTCAGTTACCACCCGGAAGGATAATCCTATTTCTTTCCAGTGACAAGCTCAATACCCCAAAGTGGCATGCTGTACCTGTTACACACTGAAATGCCAAGATGCCTCTTTTTAAGTCTATTTTACATTATCTCCAAAGGCTTTTCGTATTTAAAACTGTGTGATGATTTACAACTAGCTTTTTTATATACAAAATCTGATGATGAAAATTTTGTGCTAGGATATAAAAATCAAATTTTGTGTTCACCCAGTTCTAAATCACAGACTAACAGCTTTAACTTCAGGCAAAAGCTCATAAAACCAAAGCACATTTTGATTCACTCTAAAACAAATCTTTTCAAACAAATTCCTTTTGCTCTACCAAGATTTATGTACAAAAGCTGAAGGCTTCTATCCTCCAACCTTGAATAGAGGCACTTGGAATACAGAGAAGCATTTTTTTCCAGCTGTTTAAAGCTACAATCCCATGAGTCTGCCTCCTGGAGGCATTCAGACTCTACTTATTTGAAACGAACAGAATGGGTCAGTCAAAGGACACACTTGGTCTGCATCTGATCAATGTTGGGGGTGGGTAGAAAATATTAAGAAATTGAGAATGTACTAGAGGTACATAATAAAACTAATTTTTAAAAGACATTTTATACTAATTATGGAAAAATATTTAGAATAGCACACGTTAACCATGCTATCTAAATACCGGCAACAGCAATTTATTTGCTTCTATTTTTAACAAACCAGATAGCGACACCTTCCGGGATGCTTCCTAACTACTTGTTACTGACATATACTTTGGAAAACAGCCTACGCTTAACAGTTACCAGCCAATGTAACTTGAGAATCTGTTGTATACCTTAGTTTTGTTCTTTTAATAGAAATAACAACCACTTCTGTAGTTTTTCACGTGCTGTGTAATTATCTTTTGCCTCAATACTTAATAATATCTATTTAACATTGCCTAACCTACACATCTATCAAAGAACTTAGGGTCTTCGTTATTTTATCTGAAACTTGCAACCCTGCCAAGAGATATTCTAACTTCCATTTTACATAAGGAAATTGATATAGTAGTCATGCTCTAAAAAAATACAAACATACAGCCATTGTTTGGGGACATTTTATTTAATAATCAAGGGATGATAATGCCAAATCAAATACACTCTACTCCCCCATCAAAGGATCAAGTCAATATAAATCAATCCATAGCTATTCGACTCCCATACATACAACACAGAAATATTTCTATGATTACCTCACCAAGTCATAAACTTCATCCACTGTAATCCCAAAACCATTTCTAAGAAACCCCAAGAAAGCAACTAAACTGCCTAAAATTATTTAGAGCACAAAGATACCTTGGCAATTACCTTATTAGAAAAAGTAAATAAATGAACAAATAAAACTTTAAATGCATTGCCAGGGAAATGCCATGTATCAGCTTTCACTTCTTGAGAACTGTTACTACTCAGAGCACACAAATCTCAGTAAATTGCACAACAAGAAAAAATATATATATATTTATATATATTTCTGTTCCATAATGTAATTGCAACTAGAAGTGGCTCCTTTTCAAATACTGTACATCAATTAAAAGCCTCCTATCATGACAGACAACCATAACAAATTTAGCTGAATTAAGCATAGGTCCAGATTTCATGGAGGCAAAGGTTTCTACCTCCTACAGACTCAAGTAAGTCTCTAAATTTCTTTCAGCTTGAGTTAAATGAGAGAAAATGCAATTCATATTTCCAGAAGCAAGAGTAACATATTTTCCAGTAAGTTTCTTGTTCTCATTTTACTATTTTAAGAGTTCTGATCACTCCCAGTGTTTCTGTAAGCAAGATCTGGTTCCTGGTGGCTGATCATTTTCATGGCATGATGCTTCACTAAAACTGTCTCCAAAAACTGTTTTTATTCATATTTAGGTTCAGTGTATTTATCTACAAAATACCATTTCAATGGAGTTGTGCCAATAAAAGAAAAGAGCTTACTAGAATTTCAGTTGACTTTGTTAAAGGAAATTATTTTAAATTAATGTGGCTACTGAACTGCTGCCATCCTTGACCTCAGAAAATATATTCCTTCTAATTTTTGCTGTGAACATTTATTTATTTAAGTTAAATTCCAGCTCATGAATGTTGACCATGAAGGAGGCTAAACCTTCCTGCTACTATTTCATATTCTTTTTCTAAACAAGGGCAACCACATGTTTGCTGCATTAGTATGCACAGCCAGATCACCACCATTAAGTGAAATCATCTATGTATTTTTGGTAGAATCTTTAACAACTTCCACGCCTGTCAGTGAAATGAAACAAGGCTGTTTTGTTTTCAGAGAGCAACAATTTGATCTCTGGTTTACTAGATGGCGCTCAAAATATTTTTCCATATGTTTTTTGCAAAGAGAATCTGACATCAGCATGGTTTACCTTTACCAGTGAATGCAGGCTTTTTTCACCAAACATATCCCAGAGGAAGGTCAGGTCTTCCTGGCTATCCACATGTGGCTGCAGCTGGGCTGGCAGAGCAGCCAACAGCTCATAGAGACCTATAAAATGAAAATAAAACACAAAGCGTAATCTTAGAGTGATCTCATTAATTTCACTTAAGGTGTGTGTAAATGACGGCTGGAACATGTCATTTTAACTGGATTTGTATTCTGGGTCATCAAGCAAAACACTGTGCCAAAGAAGCAAAGTGAAGTTTTTTGATTTTTCAATTCCAAAGAAGTATGTATTAACAGACAAGCTTTTACCTTTCACGGTTGTCAACATTCTGCAGTCATCCAAGTTTACATAACCAAGACAGAAAATGTGTACAGGTTTTCAGAAAAAAGAAGAAAACGCATACATTCCTTTCCTTAATCGTTATTACATTTCCCTCACTGCTAGCCAAAGAGTGAAATGAGTCATGAATAGGAAAAACTTCCTTAGGAGAACAGAAAATTGATAGAGTGGTCTACTAAAAAGGCTTTGCAGTGTCCAGAGAGTTCCTAATAACATAGAGCTTCAAAATATTTGTATAACCTAACATCAAAAATCAAGTTCTACTAAGGAAGACCAAATAATCTGCCCATGGTGCTACATTATTGTAGTCAACAATTAAGAAAGAGAAAGCTACACAGGACTGAGTCTAAATTGGGGATACGTGACGTTCACCTAACTCCCCTCTGAAAGAGTTAAAATAGCAGACACAGGTTCCCATGGCACTGCTCACTGGAAGACTCCTAGGGGCAGACAGTAGCATAGTGTTCCACAGTAGCATGCTCACAAACCATCCATCTCCATCACAGGCCGTCAGACTCCTGTCCAAGAAATGTTGCAACAGCGCTTGCCCGAGACTCTTTAGGGAGGTGACCTGGCAGAAGTCAGTATCAACTCATAGCACATGTTTCATTTTCCAGTGGGATTACATGAGGTAAAAAGGACAAAATTCCTTTTATTTCTGTCTGCTGTCTACAAAAACACCAAGACCTCATGGGACCAGCAACACACGGGACTGCTGTTATTTTGGGTCTGAATAAGTGCTGCTGTTCATCACGGGGACAGCTTTACAAGATATTTAGCTAGCAAAGAATAGTATATTATGGGCTGCTGATTAGTAGATCTATTATCTTCCTAAAGCAGGATCACACCCTGCTAATCAGTGATAATTCACAAGCAAATGCATAAGGTACCACTTTGAAAGTTTGATGAGTAACTTGGGAGATTTGATTAAATTCAAACATTCCTGGGGCTATACTTAGATCCCACCAAAAAGCTAAAACTCTATTAAAAAAAAACAAAAAACATTTCTCCCAATTACATTCTTAAATATTTTTGATGCTTTACATTTATTCCCTTAAAAACCTGGAATCCTGCCTAAGCCAGCTCTTATTTCCCATTTTGTAAAACTGTTTTTAAAGTATGTCAACCTAACTCAATAACAACATAGGTCTCTCTGTGTGTGAAAATGTGTGTATGTATGTGTGTGTGTGTGTCTCTGTCTCGTCTCTCCCCCTCCACATAGCTTCAAGATCAGTAGTTACGGTCAGAGGTTCAAAATGTAAAATCATGTTAAAAGAGAGTGGAATTTCATTCTTTTACGACTGATTTCAGAAGTTATAAAAATAATTACCCATCCTTGGTAATATGAGTTAGAGTTTAATTAAGGATAACTAAGTCAGCTGTGATATAACTTACACAGGTCAGTATTCAACATGTTTCATATGTAACTCAGATCCAGTCATTGTTATTACTAATTATTGTTATTAATCATATTATTACTGAAAAAGCAAAAGTTCAGATCAAACAAACATAGATTCAAACCCCATACTTGGGAGCATTTCACATAAGTTATCTGAATCTTATTTCCCTCATGTGTTTAAAAGGAAATGACAGAAGGCGTAGCTCAGTGGTAGAGTGCCTGCCTAGCATGCACAAGGGCCTGGGTTCAACCCCCAGTACTGGGGGCGCGGAAAGAAATAATTGACAAGTGGTAAAACCGCACAAACTACACACACACACACACACACAATAGTACATAGAAAACTAGTGAAATCTGAATAAAGTCAATGGGGTGTCCTTCCATTCTGTGGTGCTATCACAAAATATCACAGGGTAATTTATAAATGATATAAATAATACACATTTACATTAAAGTCAGAGCAAATGAGCAAGAGGGGGCCAGGCTCACTTTTACAGAAGCCCACTCTTGCATTAGCATCAGTCCATTTGTGAGATCAGAGCCCTCATGACCTGATCACCTCTTCTGAAGTCCAGTCTCCCAACATCATTGCATTGGGGACAAAGTTTTCAATACAAGAACTTTCACAGACACATTCAAACCACTGGCTGTTTATTCCAATGGCAATTTCCTAGTCTCCACAACTCTGCTGTAGTTACGCAGGAGGTTATCACTGGGGAAAAGTGGGTGAAAGGTAGAGGTCTCTCTGTATCATCTGTTCCATCAACATGTGAATCTACAATTACCTCAGAATAAAATATTAACTTAAAACAGAAATGGTGGTTTAAAAAAATCATTGTAAGAATTGAACAGAACAGTGCACGTGGCAGCATTTAGTGTCATGGCTGGCAGAATAGGTACCTGATAAAAGGTAATCCTCTCATTTCCTTCATATCCCTTCCTTTAGAATGAAATACCATTTCAACTCAAAGGTTTAAAATCAAAAAACAACAGCTTAGTCATACATTCCAACTGGATACAATACTACACTGAGAAATAAAACCACCCTAGTCTTTTACATATGGAAAGTGTTAACTTTGCCCAAATACTGCTTCCATTTTGTGGAATAAGTCATATTAAGCTTAAATTAAAAAAAAAAATAGTAATTTTTCTGTTAGCAGAAGCTCATAGACCTGAGTTTTCTGGGTTTGACTGGCTTTATGCAATTGTAATTTATATGCTACCACAGGCTGGCACCTAGTGACCACAGCAAGCCTTGCCCTTCAGCTACCATATCTGGTAACCAGGACCAAAGCCAGAGAGATAGAACAGTGTCAACCAGAAATTAAACATGGCTCAAATAAAAAAATAACAGGGTAGAGGTGTGCGCATTCTGAATGAAGACAACACAGTCACTTCCAAAGAAATATTACAGGCCCTAAAATCCATCTCTGTCCACACAAAAAACTTGATCTGTGTTCTGACATGTTTCAAAAGACTCCTAATTTTCAGCTCCTAGAGTTATAGTAGTGAAGAATGTCACAAAATCCAAATCTTTTTGAACCTGAATATCCACAGAGCAAGAAATGAGTTTAGATAGCAAGAAATATTCTTTGAAATGTTTACCTAAATCATCTTTGTCCCTGATAAAGAACTGTGATAATGAAAGCCTGCATTTTGCAGTCATTCAAGGTCATGAATGCTTCATTCTGAAAAGCACAGTACCTATGAATCAGGCACTGTGCCAAGCTCTAAAGATCTAAGACCCATCAGACATGGCTCCCATCCTCAGAAGTTTATAGTACAGAAGACAAACACAGACAGGTCCATTAGTGAGAGGCAAAGGAAGGGGCCGATTCTTAGAAATGAAGAAGACATAAGGAAAGTCTTTACAAAAGTTGGTAACACCTGAGTCTTAGTTGTGGTTTGAATGTGTCCTTCCAAAAGCTTGTTTGGAAATTTAACCCCCAAAGAAAGAGTGTTAGGAGGTGATGACTAATGGGAGGTGATCAGGCCATAGGGCTCCTCCTGCTGCAGTGACCCTCCAGTTCCCTCTATGACAAAATTTAACATCATAACAGCAGCAAATTGATTTAAATCTTCTACAAATTGATTTAACTGAATGTGGGCCTCATGAATGGATTCATACCTTCATCATGGGAACAGGTTTCTCATCGTGTGAGTTCATTATAAAGGCTAAGTTCTGTCTTTCTGTCTGTCTCCATCTCTGTCTCTCTCTTTTTGCTCTTCTGCCATGTGATGCCACAGTAAGAAGGCCCTTACTAACCGTCCCCTCAATGTTGGAACTTCCATCCTCTAGAACCGTGAGAAAATAAATTTCTATTCATCATAAATCACCCAGTCTTTGAAATATAAGATGCCCTCCTATCCAAGGGGGATATTTTCAAAGATCTCCAGCAGATGCCTGAAATCACAACAGTACCAAACCCTATGTATACTATCACTCCCTCTATATACTCTCTTGCTTTGGGGCCATGATGGAGTAAAACAAAGGCTACTTGAGCATAAACACTGTGATAGCATGGCAGTGGATCTGACAGGCAAGGCCCACAAGGTGATTAACAGTTGGGCAGTACACACAGTGTGGATGTGCTGGGCAGAGGGCTGATTCATGTCCAAGGTGGGGCAGGACAAGGTTTCATCACACTACTCAGGATGGTGCACAATTTAAAATGCATGAATAGTTTATTTCTGGAATTTTGCACAGAATATTTTTGGACTACAGTTGACCACGGATAATGGAAACTACAGAAAGCAATATCATTGGAAATTACTGTACTTTGTTACAGCTGTACAAAATAGACTAAGAAAGTATTTAAAAGCTATGCTCCTAAAAAGCAATACTTGCTGAGCTCTTATATTCAGAGAACTATGCTACTCATAGGAGATACAACTAAAAAGAAAAAACCATTGTCTCATTCTCTCTCATACTCTTTAATGACACAGACTACGTTATAGATGTGACCAAGCATAAAACAATCCTAAACGTAAGGATCTCCTATCTGCCCAAGGAATGACACGAAATATTTTTCTGAATAAAGACATAATTAGGCTGCCAAGGAAATATATCTTAATTATTCAATTACACGTAATTAATAATTCAAACAATTCATTTTTAACAATGTTGATAAAATATTCACACTTGCTTATAGCATTTAAATTATAATTTAATTAGGAACACATACTTTAATTCCCTAAAAAGTGAGATATATTAGTCTAGATGTCTTTTTACCTTACTTGTACATTTCATGTAACCATTTTATTTAAACTCTTCACAATGATTTCCTATCATTGATTCCACTGTTAGAATATATCATTTTCACCTCTAGATAAATTGTGTAAGAGACAGCATTTATTTTATTA